AATAGGTTTGGGAAAACAAGTCGTGCCTAATCTCTTTCTCATCGCTGACAAGTCTCTACAACATGTCATATACAGCATAGAGGCCTGTGGGGGCTGCAGTTGTCAACAGTGCAGCCATGTTTAAATGGCATATATCCCCACATCAGTCCACCTTTATTTTTCTCTATATAATGGGTCAGTTTTTCCAATATCATTCATAAAAATTTTATGTTTTCCCAATGACTTATCAAAGCATTTATATTTTATAATACAGTTCCATAAATATCTGGTCTATTTCTAGGCACTCACTGGCCAGTTGGTCTGTTCTTACACCAATTCCACATTGATTTGTTTTTTTTTTTCCTTTACTTTTGTGTTTTTGGTAACATATTTTAATGTCTGGTAGAGTGAATCAATAACCTTTCCTGTTCTTTTCAACATTTTCTTAGCTCTTCGTGGATCTTTATTCTTCCACTAAAGTTTCAGAATGCGTTTGTCTAAATGCTAGAATTTTACTTGGAGTCGCATTGAATGTATATATTAATTTGTGGAGAATTGAGTTTTAATCATGTTAAATCACTTCATCCATGAACATGGTATGCTTTTTTAATCACTGAGGTCTTTTGTCTTTTGAAATAGTTAAAAAATATATTCTCTATAAAAATATTGTACATTCTTGGGTATTTTTAGATTGTGTTTCTCAATACTGTGAATGGTAACATTTCTATTTTTTAATTATTGTTGATATAGAATTACACTGTAATTAATGTTGTGTTTGGAAGGCCTGCAAAATTTTCAAAACCAGGAATGGGAGAGGGTATATAAAACAGGGCCACCTAATTTTGTCCCTTCAGCATGGCCTCGAGTGGGAAAATTTCCTTAAAAAGTGATATGTACAGACATGCTAAAATGTCTTCCACAGTCTTTATCCTCTTTCTTATGGCATCTCCATATAAGCCAATGGCATAGAATGATTATTATAGGGACAATTATGGGATCAGTTCTGATTGGGAAGCTTTAATGAAATGGTAGGATTTTAACTCAGCCTTTAAGGTTAAGACTTCATAAGTGGGATTTCAGGCCAACCAAAGAGCATAATCAAAGATCCAGAGACATAAAAATGTATTGGGTTGTGTAAGTAATATCCTTCCCTTCCCTCTTCACTTTGATCATTCCTTTTAAGTATTTTATAACAGTTAATATTGAACCATACTTTCTGGCAGCAGTTAGATTGAAGGCTAATTGTTAAGTCCCCTCCTGGATGTCATCTTATAGATCTTAATTTTTTTCCATTCACAGCCTGGTTGGTCCTCTATTCCATATTATTTCAGATTCCTTAATTATTTCTGAAGTATAGGTCTTATCTTTCTATACATTTGCCTCATTCCTGAAGCTCTAAAGAAATCTCTGAGGGGTACTTTTTAATTTTTAGATGTATAAAAGGGGAAGAGATATAAAGAGAAGAGTTTATATTTTGAGAGATAGAAACTTTAGAATTACCTTACCTTAGAATTAGGTAAAAGGAGACCTGTTGGCACAAACAGTTAAGTGCTAGACTGCTAACTCACCCAGCAGCTCCGCAGGAGAAAGACTTGGTAATCTGCTTCTGTAAATATTACAGCCAAGAAAACACTATGGGGGCAGTTCTACTGTCACATGGGGTTGCTATGAGTCAGAATCTACTTGACAGCACCTGGCAGCAACAGAGTTAGGAAAGCTTTATTTGTATATAGGTAATTTGTATAAAGGTGTACCTGATAGTTATGATCTCTGTACTTGATTTACCTCAAAAAAAATTTTTTAACAGATTATATCAGAAGATATTAGTGAGTTACAGAAGAATCAAACTACAACTATGGCCAAAATTGCACAATACAAAAGGAAACTCATGGATCTTTCCCATAGAACCTTACAGGTAATAATTTTGGATTTTTTTTCATCCAAGTTTATTTTAAAAATTTTCAGATCTAGAAAAAGGTTAACATTTTGCCACATTCACTTTCTTTTTTTGCTATGAAAGTAAGTTGCAAACATTGTTGACACTTCATAATTCCATAATATCTGATATCTAGTCCTTATTCAGATTTTCCCAGTTGTCTCAAAATTGCCTAACTTTCTTGCTTTTTCTAATTGATAATCTAACCAAGGTTCATTGGGTTTTGTGTTTATTTAGTATTTTTAAATCTAGAAGAGTCCAGTCTCCTTGTTTTTTTTAATTTTTTAAATTTTTTTTAATGTCATTCACTTTTTCAAGAGTCTGGGCCAGTTTTCTTATATAATGTCCCCTTTTGGATTTGTCTGATTATTTCTTCATGGTATCTTTTTTTTCCTCCATACCCTGTAACGGGAGAAAATTTTTCTATAAACTGGAAATGATGTCTACAGGTATGATGGATTCAGATGAAACATTTTTGGCAGGAATGCTTCACAAGTAGTGATCTGTATTTTATATTGCATCACATCAGTAGGCACATAATTTTAGGATATTCCACTATCAAGAGTGCCACGTTTGATCACTTGATTAAAGTGGTAATTGCCATATCTCTTCTTTGTAAAGATAAATTTTTTTCCCTTGTAATTACTAATCTGTGTGAGTATTCTCCTCCACCAGAAAGAGGAACAGTTGGAACAGGCTCCTAACAAAGTGGAGCTGCTGGAGAAGACAAATAATATCTTGAACAAAAAAAAATAATAATAATTGGAGCTATTATACAGCAATGAAAAATACTTTCTGGAACTTAAAACTGTGATTTTTCAAACAAAATTTGGTAGAAATTGAAGAGATGTTTGCTCTTACAATTTAAATAAGCAGCTTGGAAGATCAAGTGGAAGAATATTTCAGACACAGAAATACAAAGAAATAAGGGAGCAGATCTGAGACTTGGAGTTTAGCTCAAGGAGACCTAATATGTGAATAACAGGAGTTCCAGAAGAAGAAAATGGAATATAAATTATACAAGTATTTAAACATAATTTCCCCAAGCCAAAGAAGAGCCTGAGTCTGTATATTGAAAGGGCTTATTGAGTTCTAAGAGGAAATAATGAGAAAAGACACATGTAGTTATACCCTGGTAAAAGAAACTGCTGAACTCTGAGGATAAAGAGAGTTTTCAGGCAGGAAAATCAACTTATATATAAGGAATAATCAGATTGGCATCAAAATTCTATATACCAGTGTTGAAGATGAGAAGATATTGGAATACATCTATAGGATAAGTACTACAATCCAAGAATTCCAAACCAAAATTGAGCGACCATTCATCTGTTAAGGTGAAAAGAAGATATTTGTGGATATACAGAGGTTGAAAGTTTATTCTAATCACCCATGTTCTCTGAGTAAAATACTCAAGAAAGGACTCCAACCAAAAGACAAACCAGTTATAACAGAGACTTCAGGATAGAGCAGGTTGAAGAGGAGAGAAAACAGTGGTAAGCAATTCACCTTGCTGTCTGTATTTAAATCTGAATGGATAATGATTATTCTACATGTGTGACAGAAGTGTTAAATATGGACTTTTGTAACAGAAGATACAGGAAAACAATAATCTTTTTATCTTTTTTAAAGGAAAACAATAATCTGAAACTAAAAGTACTTTTCCAACGAAACCTAGAGGTTGTAGGAGAGGTCTCACAGGGTTGAGTGAGGAAAATAAAAATAAAGTTCTTCTTGAGGGGGGTGGAGGGAAGCAGTGAAGAAATAAAACATCTTGGTGTGAGGAAAGTATATATGAAATCAGTGATACCGGTTGTTAGGTGCAGTTGAGTTGGTTCCAACTCATAGCGACCCTATGTACAACAGAACGAAACACTGCCATCCTCACACTACGGTCTTGCACCATCCTCACAATCGTTATGCTTGAGTCCATTGTTGCAGCCACTGCGTCAGTCACTCTTGTTGAGGGTCTTCCTCTTTTTCACTGACCTTCTACTTTACCAAGCATGATGTCCCTCTCCAGGGACTTATCCCTCCTGATAACTTGTCCAAAGTATGAGACGTAAGCTCGCCATCCTTGTTTCTAAGGAGCATTCTGGTTGTACTTCTTCCAAGACAGATTTGTTCGTTTTTTTGGCAGTCCACGGTATATTCAATATTGTTCGCCAACACCACAATTCAAAGGCGTCAATTCTTCTTCGATCTTCCTTATTCGTCGTCCAGCTTTCACATGCATATGAGGCAATTGAAAACACCATGGCTTGGGTCAGGTGCACCTTAGTCTTCAAGGTGACATTTTTGCTTTTCAACACTTTAAAGAAGTCTTTTGCAGCAGATTTGCCCGATGCAGTGTGTCTTTTGATTTCTTGACTGCTGCTTTTATGGGTGTTGATTGTGGATCCAAGTAAAATGAAATCCTTGACAACTTCAGTCTTTAACCCGTTTATCGTAATGTTGCTTATTGGTCCAGCTGTGAGGATTTTTGTTTTCTCTGTGTTGAGGTGTAATCCGCCCTGAAGGCTGTGGTCTTTGATCTTCATCAGTAAGTGCTTCAAATCCTCCTCACTTGTCGCAAGCAACGTTTGTCGTCTGCATATCGCAGGTTGTTAACGAGTCTTCCTCCAGTCCTGATGACGCTTTCTTCATACAGTCCAACTTCTCAGATTATTTGCTCAGCATACAGATTGAATAAGTGTGGTGAAAGGATACAACCCTGACTCACGACTTTCCTGATTTTAAACTATGCAGTATCCCATCCCCTTTGTTGTGTTCAAATGACTGCCTCTTGGTCTATGTACAGATTCTGTATGAGCATGAGTGTTCTGGAATTCCCATTCTTTGCAGTGTTATTCTATAATTTGTTATGATCTACACAGTCAAATGCCTTTGCATAGTCAATAATAACACAGGTAAACATCCTTCTGGTATTCTCTGCTAGAGATGCAAACTATACTAAGTGAAAGAAGCTAGATTCAAAAGGCCACATGCATATGGCATGATTCCATTTATATGACATTTTGGAAAAGTCAAAACTATAGGTACAGACAACATCTGTAGTTGCCAGGAGTTGGGAGTGAGGAGAGAGGAGTGACCACCTATGAGGGACAGTAGGGAACTAACTTTTTGTGGTGATAAAAATGTTGTGTTTTGATTGCGGTGGTAGTTACATAACTGTTATGTGTTTGTCAGAAGCATAGAACTATACACCTAAAAAGAGTGAATTTTGTTGTATATGGATTATACCTCAATAAATCTGACCAAAAAAAAACAACAAATGCAGAAATTCTAAATGAAACATTAGCAAAGAGTATCCAGCGGTTTATCAAATTCTAAAGGAGAATATTGTGAACAAATAAGGTTTATTTCAGGAATGCAGGGTTGGTTCTATATCAGGAAATTTGTCAATATAATTTGTTAATATCTACACATTAAATGGAAAGTAAATAATAGACTATTACCAAAAGTGAACAGCAAATATTAGAAGAGGCAAAATACTAAAACACGAAAATTACATTCAGAAACTAGACTACTAATACCCAGTATTATCATTATTACTTAATGTTCATCTTAGAGGTTTTCATGAATGAGCAAGGAAATGAATATAAACATTGGAAAAGAGATTAAATGTTCTCTTTTTGCTGATAACATGATTGTGTATCTAGGGAACAAAGGGAAATTAATAGAATTAGTAAGATAATATAGTGGATGGATATAAGATAAATCTACAAAAATCACCTTTATATCATCAATGGAAATAGTAAAACAATTTGAATCACTATTATGACAAAACTAAGATACTTAGGAATAAATTTATGAGGAAAGTACAAAATCAGATATAAGGTCTTTACAAATGGAGAGACGGATGAACCATAAACCATATTCATAGATGAGAAGACTTAATATAAAAATAACCATTTTCCAAAAGTTAAAAATAAATTGTTTTGAGTAAAATAGTTTTTAAGTTTATACAGAAGGATAAAGGTATTTGAGACTAGCTTATGGGGGGAAAAAGAAATAGAAAGGCTTGCCTTTTGCCAGAGTTTAGAACCTATTTTAAGACTCTTGTAATCAATGTGGATTGGACATAAAATTTCCTGGAGTAGAATAGAAAATCCAGAAATAGAAAAATTAAATATGTGACAAAGTGTTATTTTAATTCAGTGGGTTTATTTAAAAAATGCTAGGGTAATTGGCTATCCATCTATAATAAAATTGGACCGCTGTATCGGGTTAATGCCCTTGCCTACAAACTGAAAGGTTGAAGGTGTGAGTCCACCCAGAGGTGCCTCAGAAGAAAGGCCTGGCAGTCTACTTCCAGAAAATCAGCCCTTAAAAACCGTATGAACAGTTTTACAGTGACACACGTGGTTGCCAGGACTCAGCGGCAACTGGTACTGGTATCACACCATATACAAAAATAATGTGGATTAAAGACTTAAGTCTCAGGAAATTTGTGAGGCTACACGTACAGCCTAGAGGCTGGGGAGGAGACCTTAGGCCAGAAAACTAGAAACTATAAAATGAAATTGGCTATATAAGAAATAGAAATTTTTGTGTAACAAAAGTCATTTGTCAATAGTCAGTGATAGATTTCAGGGGGAAAAAATTTGCAAACAACTCAGATTTTTAGTTCATCAGTATTTATAATATACAAAGAGATCCTATAATTTTACAAGAGAACTTAATTGAAATATGGTCAAAGGATGCGTAAAGGCAGTTCACAGAAGAACAAATGCCAAGTACTTAACCGTAAAGGATGTTCTTTTAACTTACTAAGACTCAGGAAAATGTGAGACCTCTTCACACTCATTAATTAGATTGGCAAAAATTTAAACAAGCAACTACCCTATTTCTGACAGAAATGTGGAAGAAAGGACTTTCTCTCGTGCGTGGCTTGTGAACCTAAATTGTTAGGATTTCTTGGGAAAGCAATGTAGCAGCTTCTTGCAGAACTGAAAACACATACATACTTTTGAACCTAGCAGTCTCATTCTTAGTGGATCTCTACCATTAAGTAAAGATAGATATATATACAAAGATATTTACTACAGCATTTTTCATAGTGCCAAAAACTAGAAACAAAATGTATGCCCATCAGTAGGGGAATGATTGAATAAATTACCTGTTAATGCATGAAAAATTATGCAGCCATTAAAAATAAAAAATTAGAGCTATATATCTTAAGAAATATTTCCATAAGGTTTTGTTGAGCGAGAAAAGTATGTATATAATATTCCATTTTTTGAAAATTTGATGACTGAAAACCTTTGTTGTGTGTGAGTATATGATTATGAAAAAATATATGGTTATAGAACCATGGATGAAAGTATACAGGGATTTACTAGGTTTTCAACAAGGGGTTGCCAGGAGTTGGGAAGTAAAAGTAGAGCCAAGAGTATCTTTAATGATCATTGTGCTGACCTTACCTGAGGTATTGTTTAAAAAAAAAAAAAAAAACATGTTGCAGAATATTGTGCATTGTATTATTTTAGTAGCACAGGAAAAAAAAACATTTTTAGATCATATATGTGTATATCTATTCTTCTGTATGAGCAAGGAGAAGAGTACAGAAGAATGCACAGCAGTGTGTTAATATTGTCTCAATAGGGTGGGAGAATTCACTTTGTCTTTGGTCATATTCTGTTGTTTCTCAACAAGCACATATTGCTTTTGTAATTTGAAAAAATTAAAATTAAAGACTTAAAAATTAGATGATGTTTATAAAGAACACTTAATTTTGAAAAGCTATCAGTAAATGTCTAAAACTGTTATGTTGCCTATTTTTTGTATTTTTTTAAAAGCTATAAAAATACCAGTTTAAAAAAATGTTAGTGTAAATCAGTGTACTTGTGTGATAACTTGTCTAATTAAAATTGACAAACGTAATTCAAATGTTGAACTGTGTAATAAGCCCTACTGTATTGAGCGTTCATGTAATATTCAGCTGATTTCTTTCAACAACTGACTGTTAAAAAATATTACTTGCAAAATTGAAAAGAGATACTTAATTGATATTGCTGGATTTTCTTTGTGTAGGTCCTAATTAAACAGGAAATTCAGAGGAAGAGTGGTTATGCCATCCAGGCAGATGAAGAGCAGTTGCGAGTTCAACTAGATACAATTCAGTGTGAACTAAATGCCCCTACTCAGTTCAAGGTGAGCACTTAATAAGACCGTAAAGCTAGCTTCATACGGATCTGCCTTCAAAAAGAGAAATTACTTTTGTATAATCGTTTTTATTTGTTCTTTTTCATCAAAATTTCCTTTCTAAAGTAAACTTTTAATCATGATGTTTTCAGCTTGTATATGTTTCAGATGTACAAAGAGGGATGGGTGTTTTTAATATAGTAACTGTCCTTTTAAAAGAGAAAACACTTTCTTATAGAAGTGGTTGCTGTTGTTAGCAGTTGTAATTTAACTCAGACTTTTTTTTTTAGGGTCGACTAAATGAATTAATGTCCCAGATCAGGATGCAGAATCATTTTGGCGCAGTCAAATCTGAGGAAAGATATTACATAGATGCAGACCTGCTACGAGAAATCAAGCAGGTAAAATCACCCAGGTTGTACCAGGATGCGCATAAAGGCACCAAAGTTCTCTAGACCCCTGCTACTCAAAGGGTAGCCCATGACAGCAGCAGCAGCAGTACCTGGGAACTCATTAGAAATGCAAAATCTCAGTCCCTACCTCAAACTACAGAATCTGCATTTTGTCAAGATCAGAGAGTGGTTTGTATGCACATTAAATCTTGAGAAGCAACTGCTGTAGCTCTTACCTTCCCAACCTGTATGCAACATATGAGTCATAAATATGTTTAGATTTTGATCCCCTCAGCCCTCAGGGCAGCTAGGTGGAGTATGGGGTGGCCAGAACCTCCAACCACTTGTCTCTAAGGCAACTTTGTATGAAAAAGACTGGGAAGCACTATTACAGTTCATGTTCATTGGTATAAATACATATTGCTTAAGTGAAAGCTATCTAACCATTGATTGTGTCTAAAGAAAATAAGATAGTAAACTCTGTGGAACATGTTAGGTAGGATTATTGGCATAGCCCTGAGGATTTTGTTAGGTGCCTTTGAGTTGATTTTTGACTCATAGTGACCCCACGTGACAGAGTAGAACTGCCCCATAAGGTTTTCTAGGCTGTAATCTTTACAGAAGCAGATCACCAGGTCTTCTCCAGAAAAGCTAATGGGTGGGTTTGAACTGCCAACCTTTTGGTTATAAATGCCATCTACAAATCTGATATTATTGTGTGCTTTAGAATGGATATTGTTTAATGTGTCAAACACATTTGGCTTCTAGGTTCTTGGAAAGCATACATACACTTGACTATACACCATTTTAAGCATTTTCAGTAAAATTAACCAAAGAATCTAGCAAGTTGTAATAAAGAGCTATATTAAAGAGTTTATGTGTGAAAACTGCAATAAATTTGGGAATAATATACAACACCCACCTTTCTAAAATGATGAAAAGCAGTATATGGTTTTGGGATTGAATACTGGCTCACCCCCTACTAGTTTGTGACCTTGGGCAAGTTACTTAAACTTGTGTTTCAGTTTCCTTATCTGTAAAGTGGAGATCATAATATACCCCAAAGGATGCTCAAAAGGATTTTAATGAGTTAATACCTGTGAAACTGTTAACATGGGAAGGGCTGTTACAAATGTTAGCAACTGTCATTGTACTTTGTACTTCAGAACATGAAAATTCTGTTTTCAAGTGATTATTTTGCTAGTCATCTATATTTGAGTACCTATTTGAGTAGTTTTCTTATCATACCCTTGTTTTTAATCCAAGGTTGAAGACAGGGATAGCTGTCTAGAAAACATTATCTGCATCTTCTGTAAAATCGCTGTTGAAACTATTGCTCATTATATATTTGTTCTTTAGAGTATGTCTTTTATAATAGGTCACCTAAAAGTTTTATTAGCAAAAGACATAGTATAAATGTTTAATTACATATGTATATCCACTATATATAAAGCAGTTACTAGGTACTATATTGCTAGTAAAATAGTGAAAGAGTCCTTTCCTGTGGGTAGCTTACAGTTTAATACACTATGATGTTTTTTCTTTTAATTCATTCTAGCATTTGAAACAACAGCAGGAAGGCCTTAGCCACCTGATCAGCATCATAAAAGATGATCTAGAAGATATAAAATTGGTGGAACATGGATTGAATGAAACCATCCACACCAGAGGTGGTGTCTTCAGTTGACAGTTCACTACCTTGTGTTGGAGGTTTGTGAAATGCATTCTCTGACTGCCTCAGGCCCTCCTTTAGAACTGACTACATGGAAAAAAAAAAAAACCCACCCTCTCCTGGCTTGGTTTCTGAGAAGGTTACTGCAGATTATTGTTCATCAAATCTGAAATAACATAGTCACCTTACAGCTTTTCAAAGATACCCTTTGAAAGATTTATACCTAAAAGCTGTATATTTACTTTAAAAAAAGAAAAGTACATAATTTCCAAAAGTGTACATACTATCGAACATTTTTACAACAGCATCGTACTTGAAAAATAATCAGTGTTTAAAGATTATTCTCCGTTGAGCCTGTACTCTGCTTTCCATAGCAAGTAAATATGAGATGTCTACTTTGCACATACAAAATAAACTATTACTTGGCTGCTGGAGATTTGTACTTCATAGTGTAAATGTACCATCAGTTTTTATATTTGTGAATTCATCTATGGGAGGAGTAAAGAAAATCCAAGAACCTTTAATGATTAATGTGGTTTTCCTTTCATTCTATAAAGATTTGAAAATATATTTTTATATTATTTTACTTATTTGGAACTTACAGATATTAGGACATAACAAAATTACTTAACCGTTTTTGCAACTTTGTTTTTTAAACCTTTTTATTTCTAAAAATGATTACAACTTATAAATAAATTCTTGATTTGTAATTTTATAAAATTCTGTCTGGTGTTTTGCTTATTTGGCTTTTGGGGAATGACCATTTATGTCTACACAAGTGCTAAGTCATAATCACAATCCAGGAATTTTAGTCTTTCCTTGTTTTAAATCAGATTTTTTTATTCCCAAGGACTTTTGTCGATGCTGGTATAAAACTTACTTCACATATCTAGGAGAAACAATTCTCTAATAGCTCATTAGTATCGAAAACACTAGAAAAATCTAAATTAGACAACATTATGGTTAAAAGCTCAGCTGCTAACCCAAAGGTCGGCAGTTCGAATCCACCAGCTGCTTCTTGGAAGCCCTATAGGACAGTTCTACTCTGTCCTATAGAGTCACTATGGGTCAGAATCGACTCGACGGCAACGAGTTTGTTTTTTGTTTTTTTAAAAAATGTGAAATAGTGATTCTTTAGCAACTGGATCATTTTAAACAATTTTTTTACACAAGTTGGTCCCTCTTGAAATACTTTAACTTTGTACTTCTGTTTGAGGCTTTGGCTTATATTGAAGAGTATTACGAGAAACAGCCCCATAAATCTTGCCATTTTACTTTGAGGTAGTGATGAGTGTGATTCACTGTATGTACAGAGTCCATCCTCTTAGGAACTCGCTGAAGGAATTTCTCCTCAGCTGCAGACCCGGTAACATAGGAGTCTGGGAACCTTAAAGCTGATTATTTTTTTTTCCAAATTAGCTGCCAGAAGTTCATGACCACCTTTACCAAGTTTATGGCATGCAATTTGTTATACAACCTTATGCGTTGCCCCCTTTCATCATACTTTCCTACCCTTTGCTGTAATTCCATCAGCGTTGAGAGAGGAAGTTATCTCCTGGTTCACGTTTTGTCTTCGGCCCAGGTGACAGGACTTCCATGCTCATCTATGTAGCAGAATATGGAAGGAGGCGTTTCTGTTCCTCTACACACTCTCCTATAGTAGGAAGAGTTGTTGAGCTAACTGATGAGAATTACTCATTGGGCCACATTCTCTGGTAGGCAGATCATTAATCATGCATACCATGCTCACTCCTTCAGACTTTCATTTTTTGTGTTCTGATATATGGTTAGGATCCTTGCACTTCCTAGTTCCACAAAATAAACACACCTAGACAGCCCCTAAGCCTTGCCCTACATACACACCTGTTACCATGGAGTCAATTCCAACTCATGATGACCCCATCTGTCAGAGCAGAACTGTGCTCCATACTGTTTTCAGTGGCTAATTTTCCAAAGTAGATCTCCAGGCCTTTCTTCAGAGGCACCTCTGGGTGGACTCGAACCTCCAACCTTTTGGTTAGCAGCTGAGCGCCGTTAACCATTTGCACCATCCAGAGACAGACAGGGCCCAGGGTCTGCCTTTTAAAGACAGGCCCAGTCAACCTCCTAGGTTTCCATCTCACTGGTGACTGCAAGTGTAAGGCAGGCAGGTGGTCCTTGTTCATGTAGCTGGTTAGATAACTGGACTCAGGCTGTATCATAGGTATGTTCCAAGCAAGTGAAAACCAAGTTCTAGATTTGGGTGTGAAGAAGAAAGACCCACTTTGGCCTTAGGACCAAGTTATAGTCTCCATAATTTACCAGAAGTTCTGTACTTAGTCCTCAACTGACTAACAGTTGTTGTGGATAGCCATTACTCAGAATTCTGAATATGAAGAAAGGTAAGCGTGCAAGCACACTGAACCCCTGACACCTAATTTAGATTTTATTTAGTTTTTCTGTATCTTTGAAAGTGGCCTTAAATCCTTTTTGAACTACTGGCAAAGTGTAAAGTAAGCATCGGTTACAAGGTCCATGCCTTATTCAGTCGCTGTTCAACTGCTATAATACCTCAGAAAAAAAAAGGTACTGTACTGTATAACTTCCAAGATTCAAGTTAGAGATTATGCATGTGAAATACTGTAAACTGTTGTGTTTATAGAAATATAAAATTTTCATATATTAAAGGAAGATGAGATTGAGGGGTGATACTATTTCAAATTTGAGCCTTCAAAGAGATGAGTATCTTTAAAATTCTAATTCAGGTATTAACACTACTATCATTAGTATTAGACATTTTAATATCTGGTAATTTGAAATGATATCTAAATAATCTTAAAGTCTTTTATTGAATTCGAACAGAAGTATACAATTTTTTTTGCAATCATAAGATTAATACAGAAATAAGCAAAAAGTTAATTCTATGATAAATCCTATCTGGACCAACTTTTACGAACTTGCAAAATGACTAACAAACATACAATTCTCATTTTATCAAGAGACTTTGGCCAACAAGTGAAAAATACATCATTCTTTATGATTTCCTGTAGGATCCCTGTAGTGTATTTCAAGTAATAAAAAATAAACTACAGAGCAACAAAGAGATTTATAGCAGAAGCACAGATTAAAATGATGACTGTCCCAAACAGTGGAAGGAGCATTTCACCAGAAGATGCAGAAGGATGAGATTTGGGGCCTGGAACTGGAAGTGGGCCTGGAGCTGTAATGAGAACACACAGTCATTGGCAGAGTCATTTTGAATATCAAGTATCCAACTGTACCATATATTCTGATTACCTAAACGAAGACATTCAATTGAGTTAGAACCCAAAAAAAACCAAACTCATTGCCATCGAGTCGATTCCGACTCATAGCGACCCTACAGTAACCTGAAATATTTCCAAGCAGGAACAATTTTCAAATAAATGCAGTTCATTATAGATTTCAGGCTGTATAGCCTTACATATGATGAGGGCATGGCGATCTAGGTTTTATCTAGTATTTTTAAACTGAAACAATGCTTATGACTATTAATAAAGTTCCTTAGGTAGCATACTTTTATTATATAGCTGAGACAATTATTTTTGTTGTTATACAAGTTCTCTAGAGTTCCTTAGCAATTTTCTACTACCATTTTTCTGTTTATGCAAAGTATAATCCTGTGTCTCTTCTATTTCAAGAAAGAGTGTATTTCATATGCATATTTGAATAGCTTCCAAATGCATCTGGATATAGCTGTATTTTTAAACACTAAGCCCTGCAAGCAGATAAATTATATATATATTTCTCTCTCTCTCCATACATACACTGCTCAGAGTAACTGTTTCGCTTCCATCTGAACTAGCGGAGAGAAGCAGCAGTGAGGTACATCCATCTCAGAATGATGTTTCACACCGCCCTTAACTCAGATAACTGACTTACAGCTGTTTTTGTCTAAATAGACTACAGGAGGGTATCCAAATGGGATCATCACTTAGATTTCATAGGTGAAGCAAGAGAAAATACCCAGTAAATTTTATAAATTTTACATAGTGAATTTTATAAATTGTCAGTTATATACATGCAGTTACATGCACACAATTGGGGAAATGGACAGATGCAGTCATGCATTGGTATGTTACTCTAGACCAGTGGTTCTCAATGGGCAGTACTAGCCCCTAAGAGGTACTTTTGAAATTTGTCAGGTTATTTTTTGATTGTCTCAACAAAGAAACAGAGGTAGAGGGCTAGATATCCTTCAGTGTTCAGGACAGTCTTGCACAATAAAAAATTGACCCACTTCCTGCACAACTTCCAAATGCACTGCTGGACATATGTAAGTTAAAAACCTATTCATAATGATCAAATACAGAACCTAACTCAGTTTTACATTTAGTGAAGTAGTTTTGGACAATTCTAATATATTTTGAACATATTATCTAGGGTCCACGATATTTCTTTGCTTTCCTTATACTTCTTATATGGAATAGCTTCCAATATTCTCAAATTCAGTTACTTGTATGAGTAAATACAATCATCTGCCTACTTCATTAAGTCTTCTAGTAGACTCTAAATATTTATATATTGAAATGTAAGTAATTTTATATAAATTACAGCCAGATACTGATTTTTTTATGATGCAGGTAGGTCTTATCTATGACTCTTATTTCAGAACAGTATAAGAAATTTATAAAATATTTATTATAAAAAGGGAGCACTGTCTGGATAGGGTTAAGAACCACTGCTCTAGATATAGGTGAAAGTGCTTGCTTAAGAAACAAAATCAAATTGCCTTCACCACACACACATATAAGCATTTGGATATATTCTATTATTATGATGCCTTAAACTCTTGCAAGTTTGTTCCTTTTATTCAGGGAAAATAAATTTATAATTTTTTCTATATCGCAGAAACACATTTATCAACTGAGGAAATGAGATAGTTCTTAAGGATTGCCGATATTTCCTTGACTTTTGTCTTCTAAAATATAAACAAATTATGAGTTAATTGTATTGTACATATATTCATCCAGAAGAGAAAAAAATAACCTAATTAAGGAGATTATGCAAACTTGGTTATCTCTGGGGGTAAATCAGAGGGGCCAGCTAAGGGTCAGTGGGGCAGGGCAGTAGGTTTAGAGCTAAGTCTGGGGTTGGGAGAAGAGGTTTAATTTTTACCCATTTGTTCCTTTTGATTTTTTTTTTTTTCCCTAACATGGGTATGTGCTTCCATTAAAATAAAAGTTAAAATTTTGTTTACAAAAAAGCATTTTTTCCTCCATATTGTACTCAGATGCCCAAGTACAATATTTAGTCTTATCATTTACTGACTGCTTATTATGTGCAAGGCATTGTGCGAGTGAGTGCTTTACGTACACGGTAGCCCTTATTTCTTACAATCTTATTAGGTAGGTACAGTTATCCCTATTTCACAGATGTCCCTCAAGTCATCTGTGAAATGTTTTGAGGTGTGATTTATACCTTACAGAGGTAACAGCAGTAGCAATACCTGATTTCAAAGCGTATGCTCTTAATTACTATGCTATACTACCTTCAAGTGTGTGCCTAGCATTGAAATACTACAATATTACCACATTTTGACAGCTTTGAAGCCTAATGCCAAGTCTAAAAGTCCAGGATAGAGGTGCATGTATTTCCTATAACTAAATCTGGCTAGAAGACAGTAACAAAACATGGAAAGTTTGAGTCCCAGATCTGTCTCTAGCCTCTTACAGGTTACTTTGTTACTTTTATTGAAGGAAAATAAATTTCTCATTTTTTATACTTTCTAAAGTATAAGAGTTTATACTTTAGCTTTCCTATGTTCCATGTCCTCATCTCTGAATCTATCTCAATGAATCTATTTCATCTTAACAATATCCATCTCAATGAACTAAATGAGATCCTGTGTAAATATGTTCTGATACTGCATTTTAAAAAGCCTGCAGTACACAGCGCCCTCCAGGAGAGGGCACAATACAATTAAAAAAAAAAAAAAAACCG